ATATTTTGACAAGTTCTTCGGAATATCCCGTCAAATCATCATGATAGTCTACCTTGATTTTTAAAGCGATGGCATGATGTAGTGGATTAGCAATTGGCAGATTTAAGGCAGTTTTAAGCTGGTGAATGTAGAGAACCCTAAAAATGGCGACTTCTCAAGATCCACATTGGGTGGCTAATAAGGGCTGATGCCGATACGGAGCCGCGGAGTACCGGGGCTCCAACTCGAAGCGCAGAAGTAGGAAAGGGGTGTTTTTAGTCAGTAAGAGTCACACTCCCTCTCGCCTCACTCAAGCGGGAGAAGTCATTGGATGATTTCACCCCTCAAAAAAAAGTACACATGCAACACCAGTTACCCCAACGCATTGGCGATCATGTAGAAAATTAAGGTATTGACTGTCGACAGAAAAATTCTTGGCTTTCGTGGCCCATGGCCATTAATACACCTTTTTGGAGTTCTTCTTAAAAACACCAAAGACTGATACAATTGGCTGAATAAAAAAAATCTTAGTTTGACCCTGAGTATCACTACATAGTATAAAACAAAATCGCAATCCGCCGTCTGTCTGTCCCTATGGATGCTTATATCTTTAAAACTACGTAATGGATTTTGATGCAGTTTTTTAATAGATAGAGTGATTCTTAACCCTTAGAGCGCCACGTCAGTCACCGGTGCCTGACGCTAGTGGAGGTTTGACTTTCACCATTTTAAACTTGGCAGTTAAAGTATTAAGGAAGTTTTATATGTATAATACATGCATATTGCACCCGTGCGAAGCCGGGGCGGGTCGCTAGTAAAATATAAGTAGAGGTCTAAAGTACTATTCGACATTACAAGGTCAAAATAGCAAAGACATTGGCAAAATGGATTTTGTTAGTTATTTAGCACAAACGCTGTAAATGGCTTTATAATAGTCTACCCCCACATACATCGGACTAATAACAGAAATAGCAAATCAATGTGGGTTTATTACGAGCCACCCACCTTGTTGAGGAAAACAGACGTCATAATGGTATAAAGGATTTATTTGTTCTAGCAAATATTTGATAGATTTCTGTTTACGGCAAACAAGCAATTTAATGCCCTCATCATTACCATAAACATTCCATAAATGTCACTAAGACCCCTTACCGACACATAACCCTGACAAAAAAAAAAAACAATCGTGACCCATTCATCATAGCACCATCATCACCAGCCTATAAGTAGCCACTGTTAACCAAAGGCCTCTTTTCGCACGGAGAAGGTTGAGCATTAATCACCACGCTTGCTCATTGCACGTTGGCGATTTCAAACTTATTAGAAATTATAAGTCCAGGTTTCCTCACGATGTTTCCCTTCACCGTTTGTCAGTGGTGTCATTTTTTTTTTTAAGGGGGGAAAATCATCGAATGACTGCTCCCGCCTGGGTGAGGCGGAAGGGAGTGTCAGACTCTTACTGACTAAAAACCACCCCGTTCCTTCTCCTGCACGTCGAGCCGGAGCCCCGGTTACCCGTTAGGTTCTCCGCGACTTGTCTAAATAATCTTAGAAAGTACATATAACTCGGAAACCGGGCCACCATGACACATGATGGTAAGCAATTAGCCCATGGACACTAGTAACATTAGAAGAGTTACAAGTGCATGTGATGTCGGTTTTTCGAAGATTGGTAGTTGCCAACTGTTCAGTATCATATCTGATGGTAAGCAATCCACTCCACCCATGGACACCCGCAACACCAAAGGAGAACAACTACAAGTACATTGCAAGTCTTTTGGAGATGGGAAGGAGGATTGAGCCACCGACAACCTCACTCACAAGAACGAACGTTGTTTCATGCCAGTTTTCTGCTTAGCCATGGTATCATTCCTGTCGAACCAGTCCATATCGAACCGAAACATGGCTCTTCCACGTGTAAAGAGAAAAATAATGCAAACTCAGTACATTTCCCACATACCAAACAAAACAAGGTTTCCTCCAATGACGTCATAGAAACGTAAGCATTCGTCTAAAGTCTAAACCACAGTTTATTTATAACTGTATACACGACAAATCGAGCTATACTAAACCAAATTACCATGGCCTCGCTTTATACGATCTTTCTACATATACAAAGGTCACTTTATACTGGTATTGCATAGCTTGATGCATGGTATTATACGTAACCAATTTAACTTGGTATCACTTTGGATGAACTTCCCGCGCATTCGACGGTTAATTTATACTGGTTATGAACAGCACCACAACTAATAGCCGTTTTCCGGTTTGGCAATATTATTGCGTGACGTAAATCATTGTTATATTTAACAAGTTTATGTAAGAAAGTAAAAACTAGAACTTTTGAGCAATTCGTTGTGTTATAAGACCAAAAACGTAAGTGGCGCCACCAGGTCTCTAGATAACTTATAGTTTTGAAGAAGTAAGATAAGTATAAAATAAAGTTTATAATATATCAGACCGTGACAGTCCACTGCTCGACTATGAGCCTCCGCGTAAGAGGGTACATCCTCTGCAGGGCTTGGCATAATCTTCATGCTTGGCTGCATGGTGGGTGAGACAATACATTCAATTGTAATGTCTTTTATTGATCTTGCAGTTTGAAAGGTTCTGGTTCATCAGAAACTGCTGCTGCCCAGTCTCTGTCAAATCAGTAAGGGGAAGGACGTGAAACAACGCTGTGGTTGTTTCACGTCGGTTTTCTGCTCGGCCGTGGTATCACTCCGATCGAGCCGGCCCATTTGTACCGAAGCATGACTCTCCCACACTTAAATAATTCCCCTAAGTTGCCATTGGCACCCAGGAGAAGAATAGAAAATTCAAGTACCTAATTACTCAAGAATCTTAGTATTTGCAATTTAAATCAATAAAGTCAATGTTTCATAATAACTAAGTCTAATTAAAATCATTATCTTAATTAGTTAAAAGCAATTAAATCACATCAATGCCAACACTTTTATCTTTGCTTGTACTCTTGTGTCCTTGTCTAATGACAACAAAAAGTATGGCTATCTCACTCGCACAGTGACAATAAAGTAAATTAAACTTTATATTAAGTGCATGAGGGTTGATTTTGCCGTACATGTCTGTATAAATCGTTACTGTTATTGATTTTGAGCTTTATAGGGTATAGTTTAAAGTGTATTTTAGATTATTGATAATGGTTTATGATAAATGTCACTGTAGTTGATTTCCAGCTCTATAATGGAAAACTTAGAGTTGATTTTAGTGTGAGAATGATAGTTTGAGATGAGTAATTGTTTCAAAACATTGTGATAATTAGTAGATAATTGAATCACGGGTTTGTTTAGGAGGTAAGCAGAAGTGGAGGTATTGTTCTAATTGAGATACATATTTCCTTGTAGCCATTTTCAGTACCCTATCTTGTAGATTTGACTACTAGAAATACAATGTTATTGACATCAGTTTTATACAACAAATTGAATGTCAGTTTTAACCGACTTCCCATAAAGGAGTGGTTTACTCTTTTTTTTAATTTTGCCCCTCACTAAGTATTTCTGCTGTGTCGTGGGTGCGTTTACAAACATACAAGTTCACATACACATGATACCCAGACCTGGAAAAACAATCTATGGTTCACACAAAGCGTTGTTCCGTGCGGGAAACGAACCCGCGACACGTTGTGCGGCAGTCAGTTGCCCAGTCACCGTCAATATTCTTAGTATTGTAGATAATATTGTTTACTTTAGTGACTAAGCTTTAAGTCGTGGTGTAATCGTGGTGTTGTGGTGTTTTTTATGGAATAGGAGGCCAACGAGCTGACGGATCATCTCATGGTAAGCGATCAGCGCCGCCCATGGACACCCGCAACACCAGAGGAGGCAACGGTGCGTTGCCGACCTTTTAATAAGGAATACGCTCTTGAGACAAATTAATATTGTGTTTTTGTAGATATTAATATTGTGTAACAAAATGTCTATTTTCTAAATTGCTACAGTAGTCATGTTTATTATATAGTAGACTTAAAGGAATGTAGCTATATAAACCGAAAGAGGTACCTATGCCAGAATCGTGCCATTTGAGGTCTATTGTTTTACCTACGTCTATCCTAGCCCAATGGCAGATGATTGTGTTACTATACACATGTGTGTGGTCTATTACATAAAATAAACAGTATAATCACAGTAACACGATTAACAAATTAATACTAATCGTATTAGAACTCAACCTGAAGAAAACAATGAACTCATAAGTTCAATTTGGTTTTTATACATACAACTAACGCCATCTATCCTGTCATCGTGGTACTAACAAGAGTGAAAGCTTGCACAATAGACTAATAAGTTCTAACACTCGCCGCTAGAAAGCGCTAGTGGTTGTTACTTTTTAAAATAAGTTTTAGGTTAGGTAATATAAAATTTTATGACCACTTTCCTGAATAGGTATTTTAGCGCTTATCTTTTTAATGTTTTAAAACAGCAATGAGTGTTCAATGTTATGGTTTAGTGTTAGTGTGACTAGTTTTTTAAATATAGATGCAAAAGTATTGAACTCTGGTACAATTCTTTAACTATTGTTAGGGAAAACTTATTTAGTCACTTTTTATACAGGTCAGTAGGTGAGCCTGATAACACTATACAATAGTAGTATAGTAGGGGTCTTTAAAAGTACTTTCAGACTATTTATCGAATGTGAAAAAGAAAATTAGCACAGATGCTTGAGAGCGTGTATAGTAAAGGCTATCCAACAGACAAAACGATCCCAGCGTGTTGTGTATGGGCCACTTTCTTGAAAATACATTTATGGTATATAGGACTAATGAGAACGAGGAGATGTATCACCTGATGGTATGCCTTTAGCGGTGGCACCACCCTTGGACACCCGCAATACTTAGAGAGTTACAAATGCGTTGCCAACCATTTAAAAAGGCCAATTTTGAAGATTTAACAACAAAAAAGCATGCAAAAATTAAAATACTCACATTTTCTCTGTCCAAATCCAACTGGGTGTCCCTTTTTGGCAAAGTAAAACTAATCCCCATATCAGACTTATTCCTATACCTCCGATGATCAGTGTGGTACTTCCCAGGGTTCCTCAAGAATTCCCCATTCAAATTCTCTATAGATTTCCCATGTTTGAACTTCGAAACCAAAATCGGTTTCGGTTTTATGGGAGTCGGCTTTTTGGCGTCCGAAATCGGGAAACCATTTTCGAAATTTTGGCGCAGTTTTGCGAAATCGGTTTTTGGAGCGTTCTGGACTGTTTCTGGTGTTTCCGTGATGGGTTTTGGTGATAGTAGTGCGATTTCTGGAGTCGGTGGTCTCATCATTGGTTCGTATGGGATGTCGTAGATTTTCGGGTCCTGGAACAAAAGAGATGGCGATTAGAATTATGTTAGAAGTTCGAGGACATTTTTTATGGGACGGGAGTACGCAGATCACCTGATGGTAAGCAATCAGCGCTATCCCCTGGACACTCGCACCTACAGAAAACTTATAAGCGAGTTGTCAAATTCTGATAGAAATATAATGTTAAGCGAAATAGTGCTATTTTTTGGTGTTATTAGATTATTATTATTGCAAAGGACAACATAGTAGCTACTCTTCAAAAGAAATGTTTATTACCTATTAAGAGCTCATTTCCTTTCCAAAATAATACAGAATTGACCTAAAATATCCTGTAAGTACCAAAAGTGCATAGAATAGACATTATTATCTCCAGTTCGGCATTACATATTATACTTGCAACTACGAAAAATGACCATACCAACCGAACTTCCTTCCAAATCATACCGGAAACAATTTAAGTATCATAGACACCGTATAACACGACTTTCACAGTAGCAGACTAACAGACAAGATTCAAAAAGTCATCAAAACTAATAGGTTGTTATTAGTTTACAATGGCACACTCTCGCTAGTTCTGTCTGTCACTCGAACAGTACTTAGAAAGTTTTCAAGATTTTTGGTGTCAAGGCAATTATTGGAAATGTGAGTAAAGATATTTGTCTGTCGATTTTGCTAGTGAGATGTGTAAGAGCCAAAATATTTATGGCTGTATTTTTTATAATAACTATCGTGAGACATACTAGATTTGTTGTCCAGCCACCACACCAACCGTACACTCCATTTTGTTTTTACCAGACTGTAGGAAGGATATTCTTTACTCCTTCACTACAAAATGGCTGAAGGGATCGAGATGATATTTAGAACTGGGGTAGATTATGGTCTGTAATAACACATAGGGTACTTTCCATCCCATGGGAACCATTAACAACAGAAGCAATAGATTAGTAAAGAAATTACAAGTGATATCTATTAAAAACATACAACCTATCCAGTATTAGTTAAATACTCTAAAGGACCTACCACTACAAAAAAGTCAGGACAATTTGAATATTACGTAATGTGTCATACATCTTTTTTAAATCTATATTTAAGTAGACAGACAGTCATATTCATTAACATTCATAGTGATGGGATGAGTAACGAGTTAATGTTAACTCGTCGAGTACCGGTTTTATAGACACAATTAAAGAACAATAGGTCGCGGTCACCGGTGACCGCTTGGTGTTTGACAGATTAAAAGGAAGTACTATCGATGAATTGGGTACTTGCCTTAATCAAAAATAAATTATTACGACTGTTCAATACAATGAAATATTAAAAAATAATCACACTTTCATTAATTGATTTTATGACCAACTAAGTCTTATTTGAATCAAAAAACAAACTCTTCCGCTTTATACAATAGTATAAGATTACTTTATAAAAGTCGGTTAATAAATATACTAAAACCTTTTTCTTAAGTATAACAAACACTTTTCTGGAAATCGCTTCAAAATCTGTACAACCAATCGCTAAATAATCCCGCACAAACATACATACATATAGTTAAAATTAAGAACCTCATTTTTTGAAGTCTGTTAGAAAACCTCTCAGCATAAATTCATCTAAGTTTAAAATTTTTATGAAATCAACCAGTGTCACCGGGATGTAGGTCGATTGTACCATACAGGTACCGACCGTGATAAGAAAACATAACACGCTCGGACAGCGTTGACACGCATTCTATTGCGCATTGTCATAGGCAAAGTGGGTTTAGCACCGCTAGTGTTAAAGGACTGAGATTACCGTTTAGAAATACATAAATAAGAACCACCTATTTTATGGAATATAAGGTTGTTGTTAAGTGTGGGGGAGCCATGCTTCGGCACGAATGGGCCGGCTCGACCGGAGTGATACCACGGCCTTACAGAAAACCGACGTGAAGCAACGCTTGAGTTGTGATTCATCGTGTGAGTGAGGTTACCGGAGGCCTAACCTTCCCCTTCCTCAATCTCCCCAATCCATGAATCCACAACGATCCTCAAACTCCTAATCCCCAAAAAGCCGGTGACGCACTTGTAACGCCTCTGGTGTTCCAGGAGTCCATGGGCGACGCCGATTGCTTACCATCAGGTGATCCGTCTGCTCGTTTACCGGCTTATGACATAAAAAAAAACGAGCAGATGGATCACGACAATATATCGTGGTGGCCCAGAGGTTTAAGACACCCGCTTCTCATGCATGAGGGCGTGTTGGAAACATACCGACGGCGAACGGCGAGTACCAGTGTGACAATTGACGATTTCAAACTTATAATTACAAATGATAAGCCTAGGTTTCCTCACGATGTTTTCGTTCACCGTTTATCAGTGGTGTCTAAATAATCTTAGAAAGTACATATAACTCGGAAAAAGTCACATTGGTACTTGCCGTTGATAGGTTTCGAATCCGCACCTTCATGCATGAGAAGCGGGCGTCCTAAACGTTTTTATCATTTTGTTACGAATAGAAATTGACAAATGAGTATACATCATGACAAGAAAAAATCTTAACAGTTAAGTAACTGCATTGATAGTGCTGAGTAATAACGCCTCAATCAAGCTATTAAAACAAATTCGCTCTAAAAACTATTTAAAGTTACAGATAACATAACCATAGCTACTTCAACATCAGCCACTTGGAAATAACCAAAGGTTTTATACTTAAACTAGCGGACCCGACAGACGTTGTCCTGCATATAATAATAATAGGTAAGTATAGATAAATAACCTAGATACCAACTGCAGCGCCATCTGCCGGGTTGATTTATGAATCTAAACCATCCAGGGCGCCACTCAAACGCATACAGAAAAATTCATTTAAATCGGTCAAGCCGTTTAGGAGGAGTTCAATGACATACACACGTACAGCAGAATTATATATATAAAGATGGTGTAAAAGAAATAACTACAGTGCCATATCAAAAAACACTTGAATAAACGACAAAAAAAAACAAGATGGCGTACCTTTCTAACTCCTGTCCTCTTCGCCACCAAATTGAAATACATCAGCATATTACTGCACGATGTCTAACTACCAACTGACCTATACCCACCAAAGCCCAAAAACGAAGACTCCCAAAAAACTGTTCGTAAACAACCAAACCATTTGTTTTACAAAAAACAATCAAAATGGGCTCAGCAATTACGTAGATGAGGTATACAGATACGTGCGAATAACAATACCATAGTTAGCACATGCCATAGGGATGTTTAAGATTCCTCGCATAGAATGCTGCCATTCATTGACTATGATTCGTAATCACTGGCCGATAAATGAAAATAAATATTTATACGAGTTACTATCATCTTACGTCATACTTACGGCCATTGATCTGATGTGTGTGACTAGGTTTTAGTGCGGTTTTGCTCGGTTTTTTTTTTCATTTAAAGACGTGATTGGTGTGATCTCTGGTGATCTCTTAAAGTCAGGGATTTATTCATCCGAAAAAGGAGAAAGCAGATGCAATGTAACATCCACTTTTCACCAAATATGAAGACAGATCACCTGATGGTAAGCAATCGGCGAAACCCTCCATGGGTTCTTCTCCTCCTCGAAACACCAGAGGCGTTACGAGTGCGTTACCGACTTTTTGGAAGTTCGGAATTTGAGGATTGAGGACGTTAGGAAGGGGGTAATTGGGCCTCCTGTAACCTTACTCACACGACGAAACAGGCCGTGGTATCACTACGATGGAGCCAGCACATTTGTGCCGAAGCATGGCACTCCCCATGGATGAGCAATGAGCCTATTGCTGTACACCAGGCATAATTCGAAACTCCGGGCTATCACTGAGAAATTTTCACATAACCGAAAAATCCCAATGTGGCACTTCGCCTAAGACCCCTTTACCGACCCATACCCCTGACAAAAAAGACAATTGTGACAATCAAACACCATTTCATCATAGAAACCACATCTATATGGGTCACCACACAGATCTCTAAGTAAATTGAATTAGCTAAGTCATCATAATCCAGTTAAACAAACAAAATAGTACTATTTAAGTATTTAAACTACTACTATAGACGGTATAGTTAGACTATTCTGCGGTTTGCGGTTAGCGGTTATAAATAGCCCAAAATAACTTGAGATCGAAAGTTTTGGATATCAGATTAGTTTTGGTTAACTGATATTGTTTATTTTTAACTGTATCGTTGAATTAGTGGTTAAGTACGACAAATGAGAATTAAACCGGTTCGGGATATTTATTTTGCACCAATTGTTTAAAAGTTTTAATAAAATCTGTTTAATGAACGTCTGATTTTACAGATGTAAGAATTAGGCTCGGTTTTCCCTCTAACCGAGAAAACTGAGAACAAATACGCTAAAAAATAAATGTATATGTATCACATTCAGTGTAACCGTTCAGGATTTACATACTTAATATAGTAATGTAGTGTTCTAAGAATGTAATTGTCGTAATCTAGACTTCATTAAACATGTGTATCTTAAATAATCATTGTTTCCTTTACACCAGACGCCTCAATATAACTTCATAATCAGGAAAACGATGTGTAGAAATTCCTTCTTACTCTTTAATAGAACACAGTTAAATGATGCCACTCGTACAGTCAGCCATTTTGTAAAGAAACAATCTAATTGTTTAAACTAACTGTTCATAATATGTTGTATTATTTACTATTGTATAATGTGTATTGTTTACAAACTTTTTATGTAAACATTGGTCGTAGAATACAAGTTTGTGTTAATAATAGGAGAATGTTAATTATTCGCTTGCGCTGTTTTGCTGTGAGTGAGGTTTACTGGATGGAGGCACAATCGCTGCCCTCCTCAATCTCCATAATCCAATATCCAATCTCTCATAAATGTGTCGCGGAAAACCTAACGGGTTACCGGGGCTCTGGCTCGACGTGCAGGAGAAGGAACGGGGTGGTTTTTAGTCAGTAAGTGTATGACAGTCACTCCCGCCTCACCCAGGCGGGAGCAGTAAAGAGTTGATTTTCACCCCTTAAAAAAAACTCATAAATGTGGATGAGCCATGCTTCGGCACGAATGGGCCGGCTCGACCGAAATGATACCATTGTCTCACAGAAAACCAGCGTGAAACAACGGAAGCATTGCGTTTCGCCGTGTCAGTTACCAGAGAGACTTATCTATTCATTAAAAATCTTAAAGGTTCACAGCGGGTTAAGCAGAAAAGTTAGACGGGGACTAAAGAGGATAGATGCAATCATGTAGGTGGCTTTCAACCAATATATCTAGAAGTCATTGGAGGAGGCCTGTATGAGGCAGAGGATGGTGTCTTGTGGCTATATGATGACGATGATGATGATGTTCAAAGACCATTCACACAACTATGGCTAAGAGAGTCTATTGTTCGTCCAAAAATAGCAAATTCTAGTAAAGTAAAATATAAAAAGGTTATATATTACAAAACACAAAACGTATCACTATTAATACATTACATGCACGGCCTTCAACCAAACCTGTCTGTGAAATCTGAAAATAATATCTTTTTAGGGTACCGCATTGAGTTAAAAGAAATAATAGAAAAAGGTAATTGTTTTATTTACAACAACATAATTATTCAGCCAACCAATAATAGTTACTTAATGGTTTTTCTGATAAATTTCGAGGATGCCCGACTAGTTTCAAGCCACACAAGGGCCAGTAACAATGAGTCCGACGTTAATTTTACACAAAAAAATGTGCAGTTTAATCTTATGAAATCCTGTCCAATTTGAAAAAGGTTGTATCATACTTTATATAATTCTATGGTGTAAATAAAACAAACAAAAAAAAAACAACAAACAATACTGCCCACAAATAATTGAGTGCGAGAAGCTTGCTCAAAATTGAGAAAGTAGTTTTGAGGATATCCTCTAAAATGTATATAATTAACATAGAAAGTGAAAATATCTAACTACACAACAAAATAAGTAAGTAAATAGATAAATAGAAAACGTTAAAAAGTCAAATACTGATTATCTTCTCTGTCACATGACTACAGTTGACAGACCAAATAGTAATAGGCTACGTATTTTTTTTAAGGGGGAAAATCATCGAATGACTGCTCCCGCCTGGGTGAGGCGGGAGGGAGTGTCAGACTCTTACTGACTAAAAACCACCCCGTTCCTTCTCCTGCACGTCGAGCCGGAGCCCCGGTAACCCGTTAGGTTCTCCGCGACTCCGAATCGGCATCGGCCCTATTGGGACCCATCTGTGGTGGTTTGATGGCTCTTTGAGGCGCGCGCGGAACGCGACGCGCCGACGCTACGTATTAGCAATTTCATTGAAAAATTCACACAGAAACTGCTGAGGCACTATTTTAACATTTATTTATTGGAAAATTAACAACTACACATGACAAACAAATAGTGGCACAATAACACCAGAAAGCCAATTACACGTTTTCACTTTTAAAAGTTAAATGAAAGTTATAAAATATATAGAAAACCTGAAACATCATTGTATAATGTTCGCAGCTAAACATAGTCCTCCCCTAATTACTTCCAAGTCAGCCAGTTGGAATGAAGCGACGAGCATCCAGTGGCCCCCTCTGACCTCTATCACATCGTGTCCTATTTTTTCTATAAATATTTCTCTGACTACAGTATCATCTATACTATAGTTACTGCGCGTCAATCTCCGAAACTGTTGACTATCCGTTCGAATTCAATAATTATTTTTGTGCCGAATAGTTTATTTATCGAGGAAGCCAATAAGACATCACGCAGTGATCAAAAGGAGCAGACATGCTGGTAAAACCAGAGTAGGTAGTAAATTTTATACGGAACCTTGAACAAAATACAGCTTGTTCTCAACCACTCGTTGACAAGCGTAACACTAAGTCGAATCAGAACAAATGACCGGCTGGCTCGTACGTAATACTCTAACAAAACAACCATGCAAAACTGGAATTTGGAAAAAAATATTCTTCATAACTCATAACTGATTGGTTTTGAAATCTGCGAACTGGTAGGACACAACAGACCATGTAATGATAGCCCTCAATAAACTAAGTATTGGATCGAAGGTCACTGCAGTATATCATCATCATCATCATCATCAACAGCCTATAAATGCCCACTGCTGAGCACAACCTCTTCTCATACGTAGAAGGTTTGACCATTAATGACCGCGCTTGCTCAATGCCGATTGGCGATTTCAAACTTATAATTAGAATACGCTAGCTAAGTATTAGGGATATATTTCACCGGGACACCATGGCGACAAAATGTATAAACGAGCTGCGCAACTTAATGGTCACCAGGTGAGTAAGTCTCTATACATTTTATTGGTAGCCACGACTGGTTGTGCCACCATGGTGTATGAATCCTGGTGAAAATACAAGGTGTAGTTTTGAAGCCGTGTCATTTCTCGGGGGCATGTCACAGAAGTCATAAAGGTTAAATGTAAGAAAAAGTTTCGGGCCAGTAGTTAAAAATACGGCTATAATAAATCGTTTAAGTTCGACAGTATTGCAGAATAAGCGACAGCAATGTTTCTTATTGGAGTTTTATGGAATTAGGAATAATATCAATTATGTGTTTGAGTTTGTGTGCGTTAAGCCGCGTTATAAAGTTAGTTACAAAACGGCGGCGTGTCGTTCGCACTTACGGATTTCCGTAATTTATAGAAAAATGAAAAATTTTACTTACAATTTTTTTATTGATTCGGACGCAGAATCGATAGCCGAGTTACCTACTAGAAAATGACGTGGCTTTAAAACAACACCTTGTATAGCTCTTAGAAGAAGAAGATTAGTCGTTTTTTTGGAATAGGAGGCAAACGAGCAGACGGTTTACCTGATGGTAAGCGATTAACGCCGCCCAAGTTCTAGTAAGCGTCTTATGTGAAAGAGACCAGATTGTTCAGCAATGGACCGTCACGAACACAGTTAAACCCTACACTTTTAGTATTTAAGCAACTTCGATTGAATAGGGGACCGCATATTCCAAACACAAATAATTCAAGACTCGAATGCTGTACCGAGAAAATCTCTACAGTAATCATCACTACATAGTATTTTTTTTTTAAGGGGTGAAAA